TTAAAATAATAACGGGCAATTGTGTCAAAATATTATACAACGAAATATACAATTTAATAAATAAATAAATAAATGTCGCTTAATACAACAATTTCATTTAAATCATTTTTTAGATAATATTAAGTATTATCTGTAGAAAAAGTATAGTATGCAACTCGTTTAAAACTTTTCTTGGCACTAATTTAATTAAACACTCGCTCGCAAGCTCGCTCTTGCCTAAATTAAATTCTTGACTGAAATGGCGTTATTCAAATTTGATACATATTATACTATAATAGCCTTTTATACTATTTTTAATAATTGTAATTTTTTTAAATAATTTTTAATTTTAAAATTTACTGTTTATTAAGAAATATTCTAATCATTTAAATATGCTGAAGTGAATACGAAAACATTTTAAAATATTGTTTTGTTTATGTAAATATATTACAAATATATTGTTTATGCCTTAAAATTACTATTCCTTATTTAACGTTTCGTATGATTTTACTATATTATTAGTAAAAAAAGTTAGACAAAATAGTATTTTATATATCATTCCTAATAAACTTGGCAACACCGTTAAACTTAATTCACAACATGACATGATCGTGTTATGATCCCTTGTAATTCCGTTTTTATTACTACGAATCGAATTATGTCACTTGGGAGAGGTGTTTAACATCCATTATTTAATAACGGTCAATTGAAAAATGAGTTACAATAAATAAACGTTAACTGCACCTAAAGAGGGTGTAATTTATTATAATATTCAGCAAAAATTAAACAATTTTATTTAATCAAAATTGCTGTTGCAAATACAAACGTTATAAAGTTATTTAAAAAATATGTTATTTTCAAACTAAAATAAAAAACAAATATTTTACTTATTAGGTGCGGGTACCAACAAAAACATATTTTTACATAAGGATTCTTAACAAAAGAAAATTATTTAGTTTTTTTTTAATTTATCATTTAAATTTTAAATCTTTTCAAATCGCTTTTTGTTTACCGAAAAAACAAAATTGCATTTTTGCATTATTTGTTTATCTACAAGTCACATTATGTTCATATAAACTTTAATTTTTAATGGCAAACTCTTTCAAACGTATTTTATACTTTTAGGTCAGCCGCGATAAAAAAGCATAATGCGATTTCAAAAGTTATTTATTGGCAAAAGATACCTGTTTTAACATGTATTAATGTCATTTACATAATATTCTAATAATGCACATGGTGTAATATTGTTAATGTTATATATATTAAAATGGGTAGGTCCATAAATAATCTCTTGATACTTTTTTTAATTCGTAAGACTCAAAATAATTTGTAATTACCTTTATCCAACCAAAAAGTAAGACACTGATCGACCAGAAACCAAGGATTAACCTTGTCTATTACTTTTAATGAAGTGTTGCCAAATGTAAAATTAAAAAAATTATAAACTTTTACAGCAGATCAAAATTGTTTTCATTATTTAGAATGCAAGCTTAAACTCTGCGAAGCATGCATTCAGGCACAAGCGTAAAAATGTCTGGACTATTTATGTGCTCGAATTGTAAAGTATTGTAAAAGAAAGTGCTTTTGGATTTATTTACACAAATTGAGTGTTTAACGTTTAACCTATGAACTTATCCTTATTTCATCAGAGTAAACAGAAAGAAAAAAAACGATCAAAAAATTAATTTTGGGTCAGGTGGTTAATGTTTAGTGTTTAGGGGTTATGGATTTTTTAAAATAGGTACTAAATTTTTAAAGCATTGCATTAGCTAATAGCTGGATGAGTAAAAAAATAATGCAATACATATATTTTTTGACAATAACAGAACATTTACATTTACAGAACATGTCATGTGGTGGGACTTTGATGTCTGGAGCATAGTACCCACAGAACAAAAGTGTACTACCAGTGACGCATTACAAAAAATTTAAAAAAACTTCCGTTATACTTCCGTTAAACTTAGGCAAAAGATATTTGTATGTATATGCATAATATTGCTAATAGAACCAGTGTTAATTAGTTTACTTTTATATTTACTACGCAACTATAATCGTGCGTCTGTTATGATCTTGTAACTTCTGAACGATAGGTGGCGCTGTATTCAAGTTATTACAAATTCTGGATTAATTAATTAATCCCGGCGCATTCGCCATTTTTGCAACTGGGCCCGCGGGTGAACGGCTAGTTAATAATAAAATTAAACAATTTTAATCCTATTGCTTTTAAATAACAAGTTTTTGGTTTAAGGAGTCAATTTTATAAGAAGAAAAGTTTTTATTAAAGAACATTTTTTTACAAAAAAATTAGCTAAAGTTTTTTATTCTAGTCTACAGTTAAATTAGATAAACTTAAATTATTAAAAACACATTTAACACCGACAAATATTTGGTACACACAACAGTATACCATAGTATCAAGTTTGATTATCGCCATTTTACTCACAAATTTTTATAACACACGAGCGAAGCTTGCGAGCGAGTATTTAATAAAAATGCCTATCTATAAAAGTTTATAAACCCGTCGCATACTATACTTTTTTAAGACAAATATTATTATAAAAGATAATTTATAATTAATTAATTTAATATTTGAACAGAGCGGCATCTATACAAAAATATAGTTACCAAAATTGGTGTTAGGAATCCCTTTAACCGGCTGTAAAAATTTCTTCCTTAAAAACCGACGATCAGTTTTTTACAGTGAAAGTGAAGAGGATGTTTTATGGGCATTACAAGCGAAATTTTATTGATTTATCGGCAAATACAAGTTTGGCCAGATAAATCAAGTGGTCAGTACAAACGTGCACAAAAATATTTTTTGTACTCCCACCTTTAAAACGTCCATTATCGTACATGTTTCCATGACACTAAGTGACCTTTTGAATACACATTGACAAGGTTGTGACTTTATGGCGTTTTAGTCACGGGCTGAAGTTAGCAACAGGTTTTTAGTCACGGGCTGTAGTTAGCTTTAAGTTAGTTGTCAGTTGTCAAATGTCATACAATCGTTAAAATAAAGTGCCCTTCTTGTAAAATAATAGTTAATGTGAAAATTATTTTTTGTCTCAAAACAAAAGCATTAAATAAGTTTTTTTGAACATTGTACTAACCTTTTAATTTCGCCAGTAAAGTATATATAACCTAAATTCTGGTGCTCAAAAAACCTTTTCTTCACTTTCACTGTGAAAAATTGTTGTTAATCCATTTTTAAGGGATACATTTTGATTTACAACAAATAAAAATTTGATATTAAATATTAAATTTTGACGGTAACACGGATTCCCCTATTGTTTTATAGATTTCGCTTTATAAAAATATTTAATTTAAATCATTTTTAGATAATAAATAAATAATAAACAGTATACCTCGTTTATAAACTTTTCTAGACACTCAACTAATTATAATTTAAGCACTCGCGTACAAGCTCGCTAGTGCCTAAATTAAATTCGTGTTTAGAATAAAACTTAAAACATGATATACTATTAAAGATTGGCGTCAAGAAACTATTTAATAATAAGCCCGAAAGCCACAGCTTCTCAATATGTATTTAAAAGTGTCATGGAAACATGTAGGTACCTTTAAAGGTAGGAGAAAAAAATAATTATGGTAAAAGTCAGTTTTAAGTAATTATTTAACTATTTTTTTGCCTAATTTAAGTTTAGTTTTTCTGTAAAAGTAAACGTAAATTTTTAACATTTTTTGCAAACATGGCGAATGCACCGGGGTTAATTTAAAATATTTTTTTTATATGTTTGCATTCGCATATTTTTTAGTAGTAATACAAGTAATATAAGTAATATTAGTAAAGGTCATAAAATGAGGATATTAAAATTTTTTTAAAATAACACGATTTTTTTTGCTTACCTATACGAAAAACAAAATATGTGAATTGACTTTTTCATTATATCCAAGTTACCTATCTTGTTTTAGGTGTTTAATATATAAATTTTAATTTATATAAAAAGATAAGAATCCACCTTATACAGAGTGTAATGAAAATAAGCAAAAAATAAGGAGAAATAAGAACATATTATAGAAACAAAACTATCTTATAAGATTTTTTTCGATCTTGCTTCGTTTTCGAGATACACTTTTAGTACATACTTTTGTAGACAAAAAAGTAGCTTTTTTCAATTATTTTCTTAGCAAAACCAAAATGAACTGAAAATGAGCGATGTACATATTAAAATAAGTAGAAGCACCAAAAGACTATTAAAATTAACATTCAACAACCATATTTTATTTTTATTAATTTTTCTTAATCTAGGTATACTAAATTTCGATTTTTAAGTAGGAGTAAAAAACTTGATACCCACATGATTACCTGCAAAAAATGTGACACGTGATTTATTAAACTTTGCAGCAAAAGGCCGTAAAAACCGGCAAACGAGTTTGATTAAAAATACAAATGACCTGGGCGCTGTAAAAAAATCGCCTGCGTGCAGATATTAAAATTGATCATTTTGCTTAACCCTTTCTCGGCTGCAAATCGCACAGTCATTAGCCATTTAAAATAGTGAGCGAGAGAGAAATCGGGACTCGGCGCTCACTTGCCCGGACCAATTAATCAAAAAATCTAGTCGTCTGTTGACCGGACACGCCCATCACCTTTTCGGCCAATCACCAAACGCTTACACTTATTTTTAAATAAAGATCGATACTCTCCAAACAAAATATCCAACAAACTATAAAAACTAAATTTGCAGCATAGAATTCTATATAACTCCCAAAAACAAATCTAAAACATCAAATATACCATAAAACACATTTAAATCACAAAATCCATAAAGTAAACATTTGCGCCATCTACTAAACAGAAGCGAAACTACAAACCCTTACTAGCAAAGCTGCAAACCAGATACAGAATCCTACGCCCCACTCTATTAACTCCACTGAATTACAGTTTTCTATAACCAAATCATAAAATACTTTTAGAGAACTGTATTGCTATTGCAAGGTGCTGCCCTCTGTTTGGTATAAGTGAAAGTTCTCAAAGTTTTTTTGAACAGTTTCGCGCGGGTTTGTGGTAAAAAATTGCAAATATACAATTATTCCAGTTGATTCGCGTGGTGATATTGTGGGGTCAGTTTAAAAACGATTTAAAGTAAGTAAATGTTAAAATGTACTTGATTCGTTATAATCTAAGTAGAAGGGTAATTATTATCTTTGAGATTTTGATTTTTTTAATTGTATGGTGATGCCTGGGCATTTTATTATTAGGTTAGGTTAATTTTTTAACTAAGTAACAAGAAAATATTTGTGTTTTATTTTATTTTGTTTTGCACTGTTTAATATAAAATATTTAAATAAAATTGAAAATTTACTACTAGGTTGTTTTTACAATTTATATATGTTTTAAAACTTACCGGATAAATGAAGATTATGTTATCCTGAAATTAAGAAAATTGTTTTTTAATAAAATTAATTAAAAATAAATATAAAGTTGAGTAGTTAAATTTAATACCACACGGTTTTTACAGGGTGATTTCAGTGATTAAAATTTATTTTTATTATTTTAATGTATTGAGATTATTTATTTATTATATAAAAAATAGAAAACATTTTTAAATGGTTTAAAATTTATTATTATTTTATTATAGTCCTTCGGAGGGGACTTTAAGCCCGCGGTCCGTTTCTACCCCTAACCCGCACAAGGCATTCAGTTGGCTTCTGGGACTTCTTAGGAAGTAAGGGTGGAACTAAAAGAGCACTTTTTTGTATTATTATTATTTTTTAAGCTATAAATAATTTAAATAATTACATAAAAAATAGCCATAATTCATTCATTCATGTTAAAATATTTAGTTGATAAAGGTAAAAAAATTTAAAAAGTAATTATTAAAAAATTTAAATTCCCCTTAAATTTTACAGAATTCAGGGTTAAATTCGAGAAAATTCCCAGCCTTAATATTTTGTATAAATTCGCCAATGCCCAAGCATCCAGCAATTTATTCATATTTTTGGTAATATCTCTGTAAATATTCATTTTAGCTATGGGTATGCTACATATAGTCGTTCCATTTGAAATAAGAAATTGGCATTTAAAGTTGCAAAAAAAATAACGGATATACCAAACACCCTGTCTATCATTTGTGAATACTATTAATCGCTTCTGATAGGATACTCCTTTGTTAACCTGTATACCAAGAAATAACTTTTCAATATTTTAATTGTTGGTAATACAGACATTTAGTTAGTCACTACATCTCATATTTTGAAAAAAAGAAACTTGAAGATATTAAAACGATTCAAAATGCAATAGCTCAGAATATTATTTTAAAATCAAAAATGCAATAATATGTATAGAATCACAGCGCATTGAAAATAGATCACCCCGTTATAGCTATATAGCTACAATCAAAATTTTAAATTGATGTTTTTTAGTTCTCTATGAACCTCTAAAGAATCAGTTAGGTGAATCACCCTGTGTAAATGTGATTTTTTAAAAATTGTATTTGCACTATAAAAACGATATATATATATAATTTAAAAAATCTCTAGATAAGTTGTCAACAAATAGTATATTAGGTATCAAGTTTTATAAATGCCATTTTAGTTAAGAGTTTTATTAGGCACTAGCGCCTAGATAAGTTTATAAAACAAGTTGCATACTATACTTTATCTACGACGAACAGAAATAAGAATTTTATGCCAATTTTATTTCATAAATATTTGACATATGAAGAATTTAACCTTACTATTTCGCAATTTATAATAAAGCCAACTTCAGCCCGTGACTAAAATGACCAAAAGCCACTGTTGCTAACTTCAGCCCGTGACTAAAACGCCGTAAAGTCAGAGCACAACTAGTTTGCAATAATAACATAATTTTTTTTTGACAGTTTACGATGAATATTTTTGTGCGATGCCCACGCGGCGCACAAAAAATGCGATATCGACAGTCAAAGTAGGAATTACAATTGTTTTCGTTTCGGATCACGAAAATAAGACGGCAAAAATGTTACTGCAATGGTAGGCCTAGAAGGTATAAATAATTGGAATTGTTTAAATAATATGTTTTTTTGCAAATATTATTTTTCGAAAATAGGTATTTATTGTAAAGAGTTTTTATGTTTTCATTTAACAACTTTTGCATCCAATTATTGCGAACAATTCGTGAGTTATCAATTTTTCTTTTAAATGCTGTAAAAGTCGTAGGTACCATGGTACCTACATAATAAAAACGGTGCAGAATTTAAAAAAATGATGTATGTATGTGTTTTTAGTTTATTGATTATCAACAGATTTTTACAATTATTCTTAATTTGCAAAAAATCAATATAAATGCATTGATGCATTTGACGTGATTTAACTCTATATGCTTTATATTATAACACCGTAAACTTTTTCAAAATAAAATAAAATGTATTTGTTTATTATTTCATCATACTGCAATATAATGATAAGATAAGATAAACACATTTTAATTTCGAATAATGGGTATGTCAAAAAGTCAGCGGTGCATCTTCCTATATTTATTAAATAAGTAATAAGATAAGATAAGATATATATATATATATATAATATATATTTTAGGCGGATTATCATTATAATAATAACAATATTGTTCTTGAGAAATGAATAAGTAAAACTTATGTTGCAATTTAGCATAAAACAGTTAAAAATGTTTATGCATTTGTAGAAAAACAGTTGGGCATTACAAGAATGGGTAATGTATGTTTAATAATTTTTTTTATTTATATTAATAAAGCTAAGATTGTGTTAATTGTCAATGTTATTCTTATAATTTTAAATAAAAAAAACTGATTTCATGTAATTTAATTTTTTTTTTTTTTAATTTAAATTAATTTTTCTACTCCCATCTTTAAAACGCCCTTATCGAACATGTTTCCATGACAGTACGTGACCTTTTAAATACACATTGACAAGTTGTGGCTTTATGGCGCTTTAGTCACGGGCTAAAGTTAGCAACAGGTTTTTAGTCACGGGTTGAAGTTAGTTTTAAGTTAGTTGACAGTTGTCAGATGTCATACAATCGTTAAAATAAATTGCCTTTCTTAAAATAATACTAAATGTGAAAATTATTTTATTATCTCAATACAAAAATACAAAAGTATTAAATAGTTTCTCAACGCCAATATTTGAAAAGTTTATATGAACTGTACTGACCTTTTAATTTCGCCAGCAGTAAACTATAACTTAAATTTGGACACGGACTCCACTGTAAAGTGCTCATAAAACATTTTCCTTACTTTCACTGTGAAAAACTGTCAATTTTCAAGAAATACATTTCGATTTATAACCTTTATAATCTGTGTTTATAAAATAAAAAAAATTGACATTTGACGGTGATACACAGATTCCCCTATTGTTTTATAGATGGCGCTCTATACAAATTTTTGCTTTAAATCATTTGTCGTAGAAAAAGTATAATATGCACCTCGTTTATAAAGTTTTCTATACACTCATTAATTTAAGAACTTGCTCGCAAGCTCGCTCGTGCCTAAATAAAATTCGTGTATAAAATGACGTTTATCAAAATTGATACATAATATACTATTTTCTTCTCCCCCCTTTAAATGTCCATTGACAAGTTGTGGCTTTATGGCGCTTTAGCCACAGACTGAAGTTAGCTTTAAATTAGTTGTTAAATGGCATACAATCGTTAAAATAAAGTGCCCTTCTTGTGAAATAATACTAAATGTGAACATTATTGTATTATCTCATTATTCCATTTTTGTATAGATGTTGCTTTATACAAATATTTCATTTAAATCATTTTTAGATAATAATAAGTATTTGTCGTAGAAAAAGTATAGTATGCAGCTCGTTTATAAACTTTTCTAGACCCTCATTAAATTAAACACTCACCCGCAAGATCGCTCGTGCCTAATTTAAATTCTTGACTAAAATGGCACAATATAATAATAAAATACTTTTTAACTGATTTAATTGTTTATATATTTGTTTTTAGAAAATAGAACTTATTCACAGGATATGGCCCTATCTGCCTCATTGGCACTTTCCGGGCTGACTCGCGAATCACTTGAAGGATCTAATTTGGAAATGTTGTTCGACCAAGCCGATCGAATTTTAAGTGCCAGTTGTTCCTCCATAGCTTCCAATAATTCGTCCAATTCGTATGATAGCGGCATTTCCGGCGAAGCCCACTGGTTAAAATTTGTCAATGTCCTGTATGAGGTAATTTGTAACATTTATTGTTGTTTAAAAATGCACTAAATAAATTTCAATACTTACTTAAGGTCAAAGTATATTTTATTAATGGGTATTTCCATTGTAACGGGCGCGACACTAAAACTGCGTTTTTTCATAATAATAAAGTGTTTGTTCATATATATCAAGATACTTTAATATAAAAAAATAGTATAAAAAATTAGGTATTTAACTTAAACAAAATGTCAATAAAAACTTGTATAAAAAACTTTTTATAACGTCATGAATAGCGTAACGGGCGCGACATCGGCAAATGCGACCAAGTTGCCTTCTAAAGTTGATACTGTAAAATTTTGGATAAAAGCATATAGTAATAATTTTTTGTGTAAAACTTGAATAGTAACATTAAACAAGCACGTAATATAAATGCACAAATATTGTATACTTTATTTTCTAAAATTTTCTCAAAATGTAACGGGTGCGACATTTGAACATTTTATCGAGTATTGAAACTCTTCCGTGTTTTTTCTTAATGTTAGCTTCTTAGCATCACAATGTACGATTATTTTAAGGTTATAAATTACGTCGCAATTAAACTATTTGACTTCAGATATAGTTGTTATTTTATTAAATAACACATCTGATTTTTTGACAAGGTGGGGTAAGGTTTCGTGGAAATACCCTAATAGTAAATATAAATTTTTATTAATATTTAATATTAATTTTACATTAAAACCTGATTTAGGATTATCACATATATTTAGAAATATTAAAAATTTGGAATATAAAATAAATATTTAAATGTTAAAAAATATTAAAATGTCAATAACACATTTTGGAATGATATATACACATTTAAGAATTTTACAACTTAAATTTTTTACAAGAATATAATAATGTGTAAATATCCTGGCTAGTTTGTATGATACTGTGCGAATTTGTCCTACCATATTTTAAATTTATAATATTATTATCCAAGTTTGTTCGAATTTAGACAGTTTTCAGTTACCTGGTTCTGAATAAATTAAATGTAGGGGTTGTTTTCAACTATCCAATTTTGTTCAAGTTTGGCAGTTTTTAGTTTTCAGTAGCATAGATGTTTTACAAATCAAAATAATTTGTTGAAAATTAATGTAACTTATTTTACTTGCTTTTTATTTATTTTTTACTTTTACTTGAAGTTTAATTGAGCATTTCATAAATACTATAACAAAAATATACCAGCATATACAAGCTGATATTAAGGTAAATTAGGCCAATAAAAGTGTAAGATTTTATATTGGGAACCCAATACTTTTATACCGGTTGAAATTTTATTTTTTTGATCAAAAGAGCATAAATTGAATAGTATGTATTCTGATTTTCGGATTGAACCGTTTGTCGCAGAGAGGCGAACACACTTTTAAAATACAAGCAATTTTAAGATACATCTTTTTTATGAAACTTATTTTGCTCACCGATGCGTTGTTACATGATTAGAATAGATTTCGTAGGCGTTTATTAGAAATAGATTTACCTTTATACTCGTTTACTGTTTTCTTTTCGACATTTGATTTTCTTATCAGAAACCAAATATAATTTTCCACCATTCGTTTACAATAGAATAAATGAAAACTGTTTTATATTTTATTACCTAAAAAATTGGCATATTGACCACATTTATATCACACCGTCAAAATCTGAACAAAAAATGTTATATATAGGTAGGTATATAATATTAGTTCATATATCAACGACAAAAACTTTTTCCGAATACGATTGTAAATTTATTGCATAAAACTTTATACCCTATAAATAACGTATAAGTCTAAAAATAAACAAAAAGTTGAATTTTGCTACTTGTACATAAACGGTCATTCATAACTTTGGTACCATATTTTTTTCGTAAATACCTTGTTTTTTTTTCGTAAAAGTCTGGACTTCGTAGATAATTCGAAAATGGTCATTCCTGTATTTGTCCAAAAAATACAAATATTCCCAAGTAGCATTATAGTGACGAACTGCAACCGCAACTTCTAAATGAGGCAATTACGATAAAATAACTGAAACTATCACGATGCAGTTATAATATAAAGTGCTCTTTTAGTTCCACCCTTACATCCAAACTAAGATGTCCCATAAGCCAACTGAATGGCTTGGGCGGGTTAGGGGTAGGAACGGACCGACGGCTTAAAGTCCCCTCCGAAGGACTATAATATCTTTATGTTATATTAGCATTGTTGTAATCATGTGATTTGAACCAGAAGAATATACTTCATAGTTTTATAAGGTTTTGGTGTATCAGTCTGGTATCTGAAACGTTATGACCACTTTTGACACCATCTTAAAGTTGTCTAAACTTTAAAGTGGATTATTAATAGTAACTGCAACCAAACCACAGTATCACTTGGAAGTGGTAGTAGTAGTAAAGTGGGTATACCAGTTTTGGCAACGTTTTCGGAACTTTTCCCTCACCTTGAATAAGTCAAAACTTGATTATATAATTGCCGTGGTCATTGCCACGTTCTTGCTACATGCTTAAGTGATTTACACGTTTCGCATAGGATTAGCATTAAAGTTCCATTCTTCAAAAGTAGACATGTTTACAAAAAGTCGCCGTTGTAGAAAAATAAAAATGTAGTTTTAGACAAATTACTCAAGTTAGTACCACACCAAATTTAATTTATAATTATTGGTTTCAAAGGACCAGAAATAATAAAAAAAAATTTAAGGCCTATACATAAATCATTTTTAAATCCTCTAAGTTTACAAAATTTTATATTTTTTTAATTATCACATATTTTAACGGGGCGTGCTTATTTTTCGAACTATGACACCCATGTTTGACAGTAAAGTTTTATTCGTGTTAATTCATGTCGTCGAATTCTTTTAATTCCAATTATTATTTGCAAGTTGGATTCTTAAATTATAATAAATTTAGTTTTCAGTATCAGTTTTAGAGAAAGCAAAGATAATAATAATAAAATGCTGGAAAAAGACGAGGATAGAGAAGTTTCGCTTAAGTTTTTGCTACTATACCTCCACGTTATAGTAACGTAATTACAACGTCGCATAAACGTGTCTGTATACAATCCAAGAACGTTGTTGGAACGTAACTGACACTAAAAAAGTGTCCCCATTTTAGTCACTTTCACGTAATAGAACCGTTTCTACACGTGGCAGATATTTTGGCAATACACTTTATAGTTCTAAGTATAAGTTAGGTTAGAGCCAATTGCAATTTTACTACTTAACTGATTGGCCAATCATCGATTATGTTTAGTTTTACAACTTTTGCAACCAAATAAATACATTATAAAATAATAGTGGCATCAAATGTACTGGCTGTAAACCAGTACAGTACTTGTACCTAAAAAATAAAAAAAATAATAACCACATCGCTACCAAACATTTTAAATATTATTTTAAAAATATTAAATTGATTTAAATATTGTTAAATTAATTTAATTATTTTTTATATATATATATATTATATATATATTTTGTAATAAAAACGCGAAATTTTAATTTTCTCCCCCACAACTTGCATTTATTTATTTTATACTGTACGAGAATGTCTTGTATTTATAAATAGGAATAATTACATGCAGTTTTGTTATTCAAATTAACCTCTTTATTTCCTTTTTTAATTTGAATTTACCCAATTTATTTTTTTATTGCATTTTTTTCATGTATTTTAATAAAAAAAACTTTTTTTTTTCGAAATTTAAATTAATATGCCCCCGATAATTTTTGTTCATCAAATAATAAAACTTGCACATAATATATATTATCATAATTAAAATTCAAAATACTTCAGGAAATACTTTATACCGTCTCCGTTCCAATGTGCGGTAGTGGCAGACGCTTTTGAATTACCACGTTTTATTTCTTATTTGCGTTTTTTAACAATTAAATACATATTTGTGTTAAGGTTTATCTGTATTTACTTGTTTCTTATTTAATTCAATTTTAATTCGATAACACCTATCATAGTAAAAACTAATATTTTTTTAATTGCGAATGCGCCGGGAGTAAGGCATTAATTTTTATCGCTATTTTGTCTTAAACATTTTCCGCCATTTCCAATGATAAACAAAATTAAGTTCTAAATTACTTGTTTCTAATGGATTAAAAACTAAGTAAGCCAGCACTTAATACTGTTTGCAAATGAACAAAAAATTTGTAATGTGATTTAAAAAAGTGGACTTAATACAGTTTGGCTTCGGGGTATAGATTTACAAGTATTTTTAAACCTAAACACTTATTTTATTAAATTATAATTTAAATGAATATTACTATTATGTGATTAAATTCTAAAGTTTTTTTATTTATTTAATGTTATGCTTTAAATTACCTTACATAAAACTATGTTTGTTTGATTTTTTTACAATTTTATATAAAGCCAATACAATTTAAAGACTCAGTAAGAAACAGGTGGTTGTCAGTAAGAACTAAAACACAAATTGTCACTTTGACAAATTTTCATTAAACGAAATAATTGTTGAGTTATAGCGTAAACTTTTAAAAACAATTCAAATCTGAGAGACTAACAAAAATACGGTTTTAGGCGGGAATCAAAGTAAACGAAACTCTTGAAGAATCCGAAAGGAAAGCTAAAGCGGAGGCCGTGGAGGACCAAGTTATCAAAACTCCTGAACCACCAAAAGAAATTGTCCAGGTACAAAAAGAAATAATATTTATCAACAATTTTGAACAAAATCCAATTATGTACGATGGAAGAGACATCCTTAACCTCAACGCCAATATACGAGGAACTTGGAACTGTAAAACCGCAATTTTACCAAAAGGAGTAGAAAGTTTTTTCCAGAACCGATCTCAACTAAGCAGGATAGATGGCGTTAGTGCGCCCAGGCACTTTTTGATCAAATGTAACGACTGTGATTTTTTGGAACCTCGATACTATTAGTTTTTAAGTACGATCCAAACTCAATATATATTGACAAAAATATAATTGATATTATTTAACTTTCAATAATTAAAAATGTGATAAGCAAAGCAATTCTAAAAGTTTATTATAAATAAATATGTATAGAATATTTATTTTAATAGTTCTGGGATTGTATCGTGATATTTTTATTTAGATGACTATTTGTATTTGTAACAGTATTTAATTGTTGTGCAATATTTTATAAATATTTTAAATTGTAAATACGCTCGTATTTATGGATGTATTACCTGACTGATATTGCGATGATAATTCAAATAAAATTTGATTTTTAGTTTGCCTTTAATTTAAAAACAATACTTAAAATAGCTGATACCTTTTTATACGTAATTAATTTGTTACAAGCAATTACAGATTTGCAGGTGGAGCCAATTGCTCGCACTGGGTGTTTTGGATGATAAGTGTAGCATTAATACATTAAATGTTTCGACAAACCGTTGCTTAAATATTAATAATTATTTTTATTTACTTGCCTCTGCTTTTAAAGCATTTAGAATAAATACATTATTTTTTTATACTTCGACGTTTAAAACGCCCATTATCGTACATGTTTCCTAATACTATGTTACCTTTTAAATACACATTGACACGTTGTGGCTTTATGGCGTGTTAGTCACAGGTTTTTATTCACGGGCTAAACTTAGTTTTAAGTTAGTTGACAGTTGTCAAATGTCATACAATCTTTAAAATAAAGTGCCTTTCTTGTAAAATAATACTAAATGTAAAATTTAGTATCTTAATACAAAAATACAAAAGTATTAATAAGTGGTTTCTTAACGCCAATATTAGAAAAGTTTAAATGCACGTTGTACTGACCTTTTTATAGTAAACTAGATTTAACGTTATAACTTATAAGTTATATTAACAAATTCTGGTGGAGACTCCAACGTGGAGTGCCCATAAAACATTAACTTAATTTTCACTGTAAAAAACTGCTTCCATGTCGGATTTAAACAGTGGTTAGTCCATTTTCAAGGAATAAATTTCGATTTACACATACAAATTTGACATTTAGACCTGCGCGCCGGTAATACAAATTTTTAAGTTAAAATAGTTACTCTATTGTTTTAGAGACGTCTCTCTATCCAAATATTTAATTTAAATCAGATAAGATCATAATAAATATTTGTCGTAGAAAAAGTATAGCATGCAACTTGTTTATAAACTTTTCTAGACACTCATTTAATTAAACACTCGGTCGCAAGCTCTCTCGTGACTAATTGAATAAAATGGGTTTTATAAACTTGCGAAAAAGTGAGGTTAAGTTTGTCATATGTTAAATAGTTAACAATTTAAATTGTCTTTAAATTCTTATTTGTACTCGTCGTAGATGAAGTATAGTATGCAACTTGTTTTATAAACATTTTTAGACAATCTTTTTATTAAACATTCGCTCGCAAGCTTTACTCGTGCCTAATAAGACTCGTAATTAAAATGGGGGTTATAAAACTTGATACATAATGGTAACATTTTATTTGCATATGAAATATAAATGAAAATATGATTTTTAGGAACTTGTTGTTTTGACAACAGCAACCATTTAAGTTGGTACTTTAGCTGTCAATCCTCAGTTTTGTATTGTCTGTCAAACCAAAAGGTTGCTGATGAAACTGTCCTGAAATATAAATGATTTCCTTCCTTGAAATGACAATACATAACTCCCAGCACAAAAATAAGCTGCTAAATACTAAAAGTTTACTAAATTCCGAAAGGCCATAAAAACGCAAGAAGAAGAAAAATAAAAGAAGAAAGCTGTCAATCTAGCGTTTGTTTGTTATTGTTCTTGATTTGTTTGTTTTCTTGTGTTTGTTGTTTCTTAAATTAATTGAGGCCAAGGGATACAAGTAAAATTAAAAAAAAATGTAGTTATGTACAGAAAAAGGTAGTTAATGGTAATTTTACTTGGTATCCATGGGATACTTCAAAAATGATTATCTCAAAACTAAATAAAATGAACTTGTAGCCCTTGGCTTCTAGGGTCCTCAATTGTCCCCAAACTTTTATCCCTGGTTTCTGTCGAATGTCACTAATAAAAGACAAGCTAAACAAATATTAAAAATATTCCCCAATACCAAAACAAAACAACGATTTTGGCATCTTCAAAAGTGAAGTATATCTAAATCTTCCTAATTTAACATTTGTTTCAGAAATTTTATTTCAAAATATCCATTTAAAAAGAAGAATTTCGCTGCCCGAGTCTCCTGTTACAGTATGTGAGATATTTAAACCATTTATTTGTCATATTAATAACACTGTAGGGAGGTGAAAATATCACAGCTTAACGCTCGGACACGTAAACTTAATTTTTGGTCGTAGATTACAAATCCATGCTTGGTTTAGCTGTATCAGGTAGAAATTCAAAGATATTGGAAACACCCTGTATAAATTTAAACACCCTGTATATTTTTTTTGTCGGGACCCACATATCAGTTCCAAATTAAAAAAAATAACTAATTCTTGCAAAATTTGAAGTTAATTAATCAAAAGATACACGTGTTCCTAAGGGATTTTCTTAGATAATTTAGGAAATTTAAAATGTTTTTTTTGCTGATTTTTTTTTATTGAGTATAATTGAGGATATTATATTAAATGAAATAAAAAGCATAAAACTGTTGGCACAAGAGGTGAATTATATTATTTTACAAATTATAATATACCAGTATAATACAGTGTGTCCCCGGATCAGATTTCCAATAGGAAAAACTTGGATTGAATTTGGAATCTACGACCAAAAATTATATTTACGTGTCCGAGCGTTTAGCTGTGAGATTTCAAAAGTTAAAAATTTACCTACAGTGTAATTACATTACAACATCTATATCAATGAATTATTTAGGGAAGATCTAGATATCCTAAAACGCTTACATTTATCAAAAAAACTAAGGAAAACCGTTTTGTAGAGCAGTTAATTTTTAACGTAAAAAACATAGGATACCTTTTTTGTAGAGAATTTATTTTCCTATCAAAAAATGCAGTAAGTCCACTACTGCTTATATTCTTTTATTGGTAAAATATTTTTTTATCGGAATAAACTAAAAATAAAAAAATGCCAGGATAGTAATGGTAAGAGCTCATATGTAGATAGGCTTTTTTTAGTTTCGATATCAGAAGTTAAAAAAAATAAAAGTAATTTTTTTAACCACCTTAATCCATATGCCTGAATGTTTTCTTGCCTACTTCATTTTATTTTTAGAAAATATTTAGTATTATAAAATAGGTGTTTTTCAATTCGAAATTGGGATTCTATTTTACCCTACCTATCCCAGCAGGTCGGATCCGCCGTACTGGACTAAACCCGTTTAAGTAATATTGAAGGAACAAAACATTCGGAAAAGGAATAATGGAGAGGTAAAATTGGTCCAGTGATGTCCAGCGACCTAAACAATGAAATGTTTAACCAAGACTACATCCCAACTATTCCGGGTTGATCGTGACTGTGCAGGCCCGGGCTAGAATAATTAAATATTTTCTTTACTTTATAATTTCATATTTTAATAATTTTTTTACTAGCTAATATTTTTTCTGTCATTTTTAAAATTCTTTTATTACTTTTTAATTTCTAATATTTTTTATATATTCCTGCAATCCATAGCAAGTTTATAAAACTTTTTTTTATTAAGATTCCCTTGGAATTTTTTGTATTTTTTGAATATGTGTATTATTTAATTTACTAACTACTATTTCATTTTGTATTTAATTTTCTTATCGTAGGTCCATGAAATATAACAAAAACAGTTTACAAGTAAATATTACATGAAAATATTGTGGATAAGTGAGAGCAAATTATAGGCGATTGTATAAGTATTACACAGAAAAAACACTAGCATAGCATGAATGGGTGAGCCATTAAACCAATGGGATCTTGTAATCCGTATTCCTGAATAACAGTTCCTATAATACCAATAGGTAGTTAGCATTTGGTTTATAATCGTTTGCTGTTTTTAAATTAATAACAAAAGTTATCGCTCCTAAATCTATTGATATTCATATTGATATTTATTTGTTAGAATGTTATTGCATTAAATACTAATTTGATTTATTTAATAACGTTACTATTGTATGTATACTATGTATACATTTAACTTAATAAAATCCTTAACATTTAGGCAAAATATTTCCCTATTTTGGTTTAATAGTAATTAATTGAGCAAATAACAATTTAGATTGCTTCAATTTTAATGCATTCAATGACAGCGCTGTTCTTGGTACTATGTTAGATTTTTTTCTGTGTAGAGAGAGGGTAGATATTAAAAAAAATAATTCACTTTATATTATTAATAAATATTAAATTCTTTGTCTTTTAATATTAAAAACATATGCGGTCTTTCTTCCTTTTTACTTGTTATAAAACCATTTGTCTATTTCGATGCTAAGAGTTCTTAGAAGCATCGAAATTAGAGATTTTTTATTTAAGCCTAGAAGCCAAGTAAGTACATTTTGTTTAGTTTTGAGATAATCATGTTTAAAGTAAAAAATAATTGTAATTTTAAGTCCAAATTGTTTGTTGTTTTATGACTTTGTTTTTCAAGATGTCTAAGCTTAGAATTCAGTAATATCTCTTCGATACCAAGTAAAATGTAACACTTACTATCTTTTTCTGTACATAACTACATTGTTTTTTTAAATGTCACTTGTATCCCTTGGCTTCTAGGATCCCCATTTAATATTAAGATTTCTATTCACGTCAATTGTGCCAATCTAGTAACATTACTGATAAATTATGATCGAAATAGACAAAATAGTATGAAAAACTCGTGTTACAATGACTTATTGTGATACTGTGTATGTACCACTAGTATATAATTTTAAAATTAAGTTTTAAATTTAAAGTTTGCGCTTATAGGATGTACATAAACGTGATTTTCTAACTATTATATTGATTTATTATAGGAATTATAAATATAACCTGAAAACAGGTATTTGAAATACATTTAAAAGTTGCGTTATACAAGGTGTCCCCAAACTTAGTGGCATAAATTTAGGAGCAGATTAAGCAAGTCAAAATAAGACGAAAATCTAAATAAATATTTTTCCTAATTAGGTATGTTTAAAAGATACAGTGTGATAGTGTTACTTATCATTTCAGTTTTTTTAATATAACTTCTACTATGGTAGACTTGAAAAAGTGATATTTTGCGAACAGTCCCTTACTACCAAAACAC